TAAAGCTGACAAAGATGAACTTGACGCAACGAACAAAGTTTTGAAATCTCATAAACACAACATCTCCGATATAAATGAACTTCAAGCTACATTAGACAGTAAAGCTGACAAGAACCATACACATGAATCCTTCACTACTGTTAGAGCAGACGATGTAATATTGAACTATACCCTCGGTTCAAGTGCACCTTCAGAGAATCCGAGTACAAGCGTAAAAGATACACTTAACAATTTAGATAACTATTGCAGGAACACTGATAAATATGTCAGAAGTTTTGAAGCAGTCATACTACCAACAATGTTAGATAAGAAAGCAGATAAAACAGAGCTTCAAACATTAAAGACTCAGATTCTTGAAACCATATATCCTGTTGGTTCTATTTATACGTCAATGAACTCAACAAATCCAGCAACAGTTCTGGGTTTTGGTGAATGGAAGCAGATTGTAGACAAATTCTTATACTGTGCTAACTCTTCAAAGCAAACAGGAGGTTCGAAGAAAATTAAAGAAGCAAACCTTCCACCGCACACTCATACTGGAACTACAAACACAACAGGTAATCATTCACATTCAATAACAAAAAGAGGTTATACAAATCTTGCAGCAGGTTCGGATAGACAGGGAATGCATAGATATGATATTTCAAGTGACCCAGTAGATTCAAGCGCAGGTATTTTCTGTGGAACCACAGGAAATCATTCACACACTTTCACAACAAATCCAACAGGCTTGGGTGCAGATTATATGCCACCATTTATGACTGTATTCGCATGGTACCGCGTTCAATGAACGCGCTTGAGCCTTGAATAAAATCTTTAACTTTACATAAATGAGCTTGAAAGAAGTATTCGAACAACATCCATGGAGGTCATTTAAGAAGTTCAATGAAGCTGCAAAGAGTTGGGGATTTACTAACAGAGCTGAAGTGAAAAGGTTCTTTGACAAAAAATGTTGTACATCAAACAAAAATAAACCCTTACGACTACTTTTTACCAATTTACTCCAACGCTCCTGACGCATACCAATTTGACACTCTCATTCAAAGCAGAAAAGGAGGACATAAACCATTCCTCATCTTCATTAATGTTAACACTCGTAAAGCATATGCATATCCAATGAGGAAATAAAGGAACTCGTGAAGTGTTAAGAGTTTTACAAAAGTTTGTAGCAGAACATAGCCCAAGTACTTTAACATCAGACCAAGACAGTGCATACCTCAGCAATGAAATCACAGATTTTCTCATTAAGCATAACATAACTCACTACACTACTGAAGACCATAACCATAACATACTCGGCATCATAAACCGCTTCATAAGGACTCTCAGAGATTTAAACCAAGAGCGAGACTTTACCGAAGAAACAATGAAACATTTTCTCGAAGTATATAATTCCTCAACACATTCTACAACAGGACATACACCAAATTCAATGACACAATAACAAGAAGAAAAGTATATACAAAAGAAACGAAGCCAAACACAAAATATCAGAAATTCAACACAATTTACCCTCATTCCTGGTACAAAGTTCGTGTAGTTCTTGACGACAAACCGTTGACAAAGAAACGTTTAATGTTAAGTAGAAACTATTATATCGTAGACTCTACGCAAGGTAATGGATATCTTATAAAAGCTGCTGACGACTCCATTGCGTTTTACCCTCGACATAAATTAGTTGAAAGTAGTAATGGCAAACTTGCTGAAACCATTGACGAAGCAAAGCGAGGAGTGGTTATTGAAATACTTGGCTACAACATAAACGATGACACTTATAAAGTAAGATATGAAGGAGGCGTTGAAGATGTTATACCATCTAAGAACTTGAGAGAGTCAAAGCCAACCATCTGGGACCATTAGAGCGGGAGTACTGGAAAGACAAAAATAAGCCAGAAAGAATAAGAAAAATTCTTCTAAACTTTTTCATTAGATGTAAATCAGACATGAACGAGAACAGTCATGATATCATTAATGGTACCATTTATTTTAACATAAAGACGCAAAGCGGCGAGGACGAAGTCCATGACCAAAAATAATGTTTAGGATAGATGGTTAGATCTACCCTCATTTCTACCCTCACGAATTTTCATGAATTCCTTAAGATAGAAAAAATAACGCTAATTTTTTTCTAACAAATTTTTTTATTTTGTATGTAAGAACAGAAATGTCAGTCGAAGCAAAAACATTCACGAACAAATCTAATGGCGAAACATTCACAAAAGGCACTTATAACGGTATTGAAGTCTTACGTAGAGACAAGGATGGTTACATTAATGCAACAAATATGTGTCGGAGTTTAGGAAAGACTTTAGAAAGTTGTTGGAAAATAAGTCCTGGGAAGAGTATTATAAGGCATTTTGTGAAGAATATAGCAACCGCCGGAATACAGACGGTTGGTTTTTATACAAAATTCATGCAGGAATTCCTGATGAAATCAAACAGGTTAGAGGAACGTATGTAGACCCAAGACTTATAAACTATATAGCAATGTGGGCTTCTCCAAAATATTGCATAGCAGTTGGAAAAATTATGGACTCCATAGACAAGAAAGTTCATGAGAAATTAGATGAAGAAGAACTCGAAGATACAGTAGAGAATGCTAAACATTTGTTTGAAGAAGAAGTTAGAAAAATGCATGAAAAACAATTAGAACATGAATGTGAGATGTGTTATGGTTATAGAGATTCTCCATACGAACTAGACCAATGGGAACAAGAAGATTTAAAGAGAGAATTTAGAGAATATGAACTCGCTAAGATAGCATTAGAAGCTGCAGAAAAGAAGTTAAAAGTTTGGGGTCGTTTTGTACAAAAATATGGTGAGTAAATGAACCATTTATTTTTGTCATAAACGACCAAAAATAATGTTTAGTATAGATGGTTAGATCTACCCTCATTTCTACCCCATGAATTTTCATGAATTTCCTTAAGATAGAAAAATAACGCTAATTTTTTTCTAACAAATTTTTTTATCTTGTATGTAAGAACAGAAATGTCAACAATCGGCACAACAACAATTCAAACAACTTCACCAAACTCATTAGTCATGAATCCAACATCTATGTTAGTAGAGATGAAAAGCTTTATTCCTTCTTCATATACTTTTGTAACAGAAATACAAAGAATAAAGCAGGAACTTTTAACAAGTAATTTAGACTGTACCGCACAGGATGAAGAAAATGAACAGTATCTTTATGAAATGCAGGACATTATTGACCATTTGCCTAAACTACCTGAAGTTCAGCAGCAAAAACTAACTATTCCTGAATTCGATGAAATAGAAGTGAAACCAACTGACTCAGTAGAAATAAAGAAGTTCATACGTAAAGTAAACTATGAGTTTCTAGGATATCATTGCAACCATAAAGTTATGGACAAAGATTGCGACATGGTATATAAGAACATCTCTGACATATATAAATCGGTGGAGTTTAAGACATACGACAACTTTGTTTCATTAGCTGAAAAATGTGTATGGCAGATAAGAGATAAAGATAGAAGAGGTAAGGTATGGAATGAACAGATAAAACCAACTGCTTCAGATTTAAAGAAAACCATTGACGCCTTAGTTGTTTTAGCTGGTAATGTTTCAATGTATAACGCACAAATGAATCCGCAATGTTCTAAATGTAAAGCAGCAATGAGGAAATATAACTACTCCGTCAAAGAGATAGAACGTATGAGAAACGACTATGCAGACTTAAAGAAAGAAGCAGAGAAACCAGCAGAAGATAAAATGGACATGTTAGAATTTCTGAAACAAAAAACTATCCAACTGCTGACGATTTCCTTCTATCTGACGTCAAGAAGAAGTATAAAAGAAACTTTCGGCATTGTTTAAAACATTCGATGTACTAAAAGAAGAAATAGAAGCTACGAAATTGTTTTAGAATCTCACGAATTCATAACGTTTACCATGTAAAACGGTTATAAATAATGAGGGTAGAAATGAGGTTAGATCTAACCTTCTACCCTAAACATTATTTTTGCTGAAAAAATGACCAAATTTCATGAATTTCATTAGTTAGAAAAATAACGCTAATTTTTTTCTAAAGAAAATTTTTTATCTTGTATGTAAAGACAGTAATGTCAAACATTGAGTTTGAAACAGTTAGAAAGATAGACAATGACACCAAGTGGTTAGAATAGGTGATTTAAACGTAAGATACTCAAAGAAATACAACAAATATTCTTTGTCAGACATTATAACACCATCTGGAAAGAAAACAAAGGACTGGATTAGAATTGCTTCTACTCAAAAATTTTGGCAAGAAATCCTGGCTTATGATATCGGTAAGATTCTATGGAACTACAGCATATCTCATCGACAAAAGTCTTATACCAATAATTCTTCTATGGATTGACCCTGTTGTTGGATATAACTTCATAACATATGGTTCATTCGATACGGAACGTTGCAGTGAAGGCTTACTTTACATCGTTCAGAAATCGAAGGACTTCAATACAAAGAGATATAAGATAGGAAGAACATATAATATAACTCAAAGATATGACTCTACAGTCAATAGAGTCAAGGTTGTGTTTGTTAATGATATGAGAGCTGCGAAACAGAACTGCTTGAAGTTTTTGAGAAATGTATGGTGCTCCCACGAAAGGTAAAGAAAACGTTTGAAGTAGATGAGATAGATAAAGCTATAAAATTATTTGACAAAAGTTGCTGAAAAATACATGTAAAGCGTTTATTTTTGGTCTTTTGTGAAAGTCAGAAAATAACGCTAATTTTTTTCTAACAAATTTTTTATCTTGTATGTAAAGACAGTAATGACAACATTAGAGAACACAACAACAGTTATAGTCCATGAAGCCATAAATGAAGAATACGAGTACATACAGTATAACAAACAATTACGTCTCATTCGTTCAGTCAAAGACGATATGTACCAAATGCAAAGTATAATGAACGCTCTTCGTTCTACAAAGCAAGCATATCATTGGTTTGAAAACCAACAGACAAAAGAACTTTTAGAAGAATTTCCTCATATGATTGCTTCCCTCGGAAAACCGGGGGAAGAGATTCCGTACGAAAATCGCAAGAATTTGGCTCCTGGTTTGAAAGGTTATTATGTTCATAGACTTTTAGTAAATGCTGTAGCAATGTGGGCTTGGCCCCGTTATGCTTGTTATATTTTCATGATGTTAGATGAACTATATAAAGCAGAACGTGGAGAGATGGAAAAGAAACTTCATGCAAAAGATGAAGTCATTGAATCCAAAGACAAAAGCATACAGAAAAGAATACCGCGTTCAGTACCAAAAGGAAAGGAAAAGAACTATAAGTATATGATTTATACTGAAGAGATGGAAAATGAAGAAGATAAAGATATGGTTATGTTGCATTTAGTCAGAAGAAACAACAAAAGCTTTTACGACCTTGCTAAGATATATAAATCTGACAGAAACTGGTTCTATCGTGAAAACTTACCGATTTCAATGACACCGAATGAGCAAATAAAGGAAATTGTCAAAAATACTCTTCCTCAAACACACTATGACATCAAAGGTTGCACAATACTTACATTCAAAGAAGACTTAACATTACTGAAGGAAAAAATAACAGAATATTTCGATAACTTCAAAGAGGAAGAATGAAGTCACGACAACATTAACGAAGAAGTCACGACAACATTAACGAAGAGAGAATGAGGTGAAAAAACGGGTGAGATCTCACCTCTTCACCAAAAATATATTTTTGCTTAAATAGCTTCAGGGTCTATTTCTTCAACCATTTCACTTCCTTCGTCAATGTCAATAGAAGCTTCTTCAACCTTTGGTAAGAATTTCTGTATGACATCTTTGTTCGTTATTGTCTTCAGAGATGAAGGATAATATTTCACATTTGTTTCACCTTTCTTATATTCTTTCTGTTCGGAAAGATTTAAAGCAATACTGAAGAAGTCAATGTTAGAGTTCTTTATAACAGTATAATGAGTATCTTTGACATTCACGAAGAAACTCTTTTGTTTCAAACTACTGCTAACTCTTGTGAAGTATAACGTTTGCGGTCAATGACGATAGCTAATGGTCTGACATACTGACCAAACTTAGATTCTTTCACAAACTTCTTGTTAAAGATAACATTAACATTTGAAGCATTATTGAACTCATTCTTGATGGCAGTAGCGAGAGCATTGTATGAAAAGAACTTGTAATCTTGCATGTGTTTCATTATAATAAAAAGTTCGAAATATTTTAAAACTAGCCTTAAAAAATCTAAGCTAATTTTTTTCTAAGAAATTTTTTTATTTCCTACTAAAGATGTATCGGAAGTTGTCTAAGTTAGAACACTCGGAAATAAAACAACTTCTTACAGAAGCTAACATAGAAGTAGCAAAGCATTACGCAACAAACAAAAAGGCACTCGCTGACTTCATTAAAGACTATAATGGTGCAATAAGTTATGATAGAATTCATGAGTTCATAAAGCCGCAACGCGGCGAGGACGAAGTCCATGCAAGAGCATTTCCTTTAAATGACGTTGCTATTGACTTATATCATAGACGTTCAGTACCTCATGAAGTAAGAAGAGAAATGTTTGACATAACAAATGTAAACGTTGGTAAAACACGAAAGAGAGACGACACACTGAAACAACAGAGAAGAGAGATGTTTAAAAGTGCTATAGAACAAGTTCGCAAAGCTAACGATGTCCTTCGTTCCATTGACGACAAACCAAAAGAAGGTGAGAGATGGTTAAAGAAAGATGAAGAGAATAGGAAGAGAAATGTGAGGTCAGGCAATAGACTCATTGACTTTAACATCGAAGCTTTAGATGAACCAAACAGAGACTACTTACACAAACATTTCGGTAAGGTTTTCATGAGACTCTTAGAGAAGATTAAAATAAACTCCCAACAAAGATGGATGGTATGTTATAAACTTGGTGGAAAGTATGAATGTTCTACGTTAAACCTCAATAATATTGGAACATTACTACATCAGCTCTTGAAGGAGAACTTTATATCAGAGATAGAAGCAAATGCTGCAGGTATTGTTGAAATGCACTATGACTTCTTCTTGACAAACATAAAGAATCTTACGAAATAAAGATGTATGATTTAACAGAATATGAAGGCTTAACGATGTCAGATGTAAAGAAAGGAAAGCCACAGAAGCGACCATATAGAGATGAAAGCACACTGACAAATGACCAGAAAGCCATTTTGGAAGCTCTTAAGCAAACAGGAAACCCAGCACTTATAGAAAGCTTTTGGAAAGATAATGGTGAAAAGAAGTTTTATAAGAAGAGAAGCGGTCAGTTCTGGAAGTATCTTTGCACATTACCTATAAATCTTGAACGCTACCAAATCTTCAATGAACTGAACAAAAGAACTGCAGCACTTATGACAGAAGACAATTGTTTCGTTTATGCTTGCATTCAGGCTGGAGTAAATGAAGAAACTATTGACCACATGAGAGAAGTCATTCGTGTTAGAGACTTTCCTCAAAGTAAAGTACAAGAAATTTCTGACGCAACAGGTATAGTATTTAATGTTACCATTGGTTATTTCGACAACTCCAAAGATAACAGAATAATTCACATATACAAAAAGAATGTGAAACTGCTCGAACTATTGACTTACTTCTTGTTGAAGACCACTACATGCTAAACGAAAGATTACCAACGACAACATACTTCATCAGAAATTACAGAGAAATCTTGAAGGAGTGTGGTGGAATGAACATTGAGAAACAGATGAAGATTTATACAAAGAGAGAAGATAAATATGTAGTTCGTAATGATAGAACTACACCTCTATGGGATGTTATGAAAACATTGTGGGAGCGTAAATATTTCGAACCTATTTCTTATGGAGAACTTTTCACATATACGACTGACTTATATAAACAGAACCTTGCACCATTTAAAGATTTGACATATGCTCCAAAGTATTGTGTACAACTGAAGAAGAAAGCCGAGTCAAAAGAAGTAAATAAAAATAAGTGCAAGTTCATTCCTGAGCACGTTTTCTTTGCTGACTTTGAGTGCAGTACTGATGGCTTTCATAAAGCTTTTAACATATGTTATGACAGTGAAGATGGTTCAGTGAGTGAAAGCATTTGGGGTCAGAACTGTGCAACAGAATTTTTGGAGCGACTTCCTGACAAGAGTTTAGTATATTTCCATAACCTCAGTTATGATATAAACTTCATCTTAAGACACATGACAGAAGTGAAAGGAACTCCCATCATTAAAGGTTCACGAACAATGCAAATAACTGGCTTATATAAAGGCAGGGCAATTATTATAAAAGACTCTTACAGTGTTATAAATAAGAAGCTTAAACTATTTCCTGCTATGTTTAACTTACAAACAGGACCGAAAGAAGTATTTCCATACAACTACTACAGCAGTACTTTGTTAGCAAATGACAACAGAACTGGTGTCATTTCTGAAGCATGTAAGTTTATCCAGGATGCGGATACATTCATGAAAAACATAGATTCCATCAAAGGTTGCAGAATAGATGAAAACCACTTCGACTTAGAAAAGTATAGCACATTTTATTGCAAACAAGATGTAAGAATTTTAAGAGAAGGTTTTGTTAAGTTCCGCAATGACATATTGAAAGAGTTTGATTTAAACGTTTATGACTACGTTAGTATTTGTTCAATTGCTAACAAATTGTTTGAGAACAGAGTGTACTTCCCGAATGGAAATTTATATGACCTCTCAAATAAACCAAGAGAATTTATTTCACGCTGTATTCAAGGTGGAAGATGTATGTTGTCAGATAACATTAAACAAAAGAGCGAAAAGAAGCTCATTGCTGACTTCGATGCTGTTTCATTATATCCATCAGCTATAGCAAGACTTTATACTTTAGAAGGTATACCGAAAGTATTGAAGAAAGAAATGTTAAGCACAGAGTATCTCATGAGACATTTATTCGATGACGACCAAAAGGAACCCATTGGTGAAAAGTTTATGTCTGGTTTCTTTGTTCTCATTAAGATAACAGAGATTGGCATACATAGACACTTTCCTTTAATAGTTTGTGACCCTGAACTAAATCCAGAACTTAACGTTCCCAGAAGTTCAAACACTTGCTGTTTAATGTATGTTGACCATATAACATTACAAGACCTCATAAAATATCAAGGTGTCAAATGTGAAGTGTTGCAAGGATACTATTACGATGGAAACAGAGATATTAGAATAAGAGATGAAGTAAAGAAGTTGTTTGAATTAAGGTTAAAGTATAAGAAAGAAGGAAATCCTTTGCAAGAAAATATAAAGCTCATTCTGAACAGTATTTATGGCAAAACTATTCTATCTCCTATTGAGTCAAAAATAACCATAGTAAATGACAAAGATGCTATAAGATATGCCATCAGAAACTACAACCATATCATTAAATTTGAAGGTTTGGATGGTTCAGATAAAACTATTTTCAAGCTAACGAAAAGCATTTGCAGACACTTTAACTTCTGTCCACTTGGTGTTAACATTCTGTCTATGTCGAAGAGAATAATGTGTGAAGTATTCTGTACTGCAGAAGATATGGGACTTCAAATATTTTACCAGGACTGCGATAGCATGCATATTTTCAATGAAGACATACCAAAGCTTGCAGCAGAGTTTAAGAAGAGATACGGTAGAGAACTTATAGGAAAGAACCTTGGTCAATTTCATTCTGACTTCGCAGAAATAACACCTGGAAAACAAAGTTTAGCATACAAGTCAATATTTTGTGGAAAGAAGACTTACATAGACTTACTCACGAATGATTTAAATGAAGTTGCATTTCATGCACGTTGTAAAGGTGTAAAACAAGACGTTCTTGCTTTAACCGCTAATGAAATGTTTCCTGAAGCTATACAATGCTATTACAATGAAGATAAGAACATTCACATACCTGTTGGAACATATGACAAAGACTCTGAGTTCAGTGTTATGAAGTTATATAAAGCACTTTATGACGGTCAAGAGATTGGATTTGACTTATGTAAGTCTGCTACACCTGCATTTGAAGAGAAGTTTAACTTCTCAATAACGACTAAAACAAGCTTTATTCGTAAGTTGAAGTTCTGAGGTCATTTATTTTTGTCAGCAATGAGGTCATTCGCGATAAAAATAAGCCGCTAGCGGCAAGGGCGAAGCCCATGTGGTCATTTACAATACTGCGATGGTAGAGTTTAAGAGTTGTGTTTCAATATAGAGACAGTCCTTATGGTCTGGAGGTAAGAACACTGGGCAGTTATGATCATGAGTGGAGAACATGTCTATCCAAAACTCACGATTGAAGCCAGTTAATTTATAGTATTTAGGGTTAGGAAGTGGTGAAGTTCTTGTATGACCAATGAACTCATTTTCAACGCCTTTGGCTATATTAGAGTAAAGTATTGCTTGCTTTCTATCCCAAATGCCAGGTGTTACAATCTTTGAAAATTCATTTTTCCTCGGAAGCATTGCATCATAATTGAAAACATTCTTAAAATCATCACTTGGTTCAGAGATTTGAAATCTTATACGTAATGGATTTTTTTTCTTTTTAGCTACTTCATTGAATGGTGAGAATACAATGAATTGACAGTCACGTGTTCCATCGGCATTTGATACAAACTCGTAATGAAAAGCTATTAATCTTTCTACAATTCCTTCTTCTTTCAGTTGTGCAAGAAACTCACGTAAAGGCTGTAAAGTTTGTACTTCAATGTTAAACTTCTTTTGAAAATTTTCGTAAAATGTAATTATACAGTCTTCTAACGTCGTACTGTCATTGAAGTATTTGTATATGTGAATGTTTTGGGCGCTTAAAGACTGTTCGTCATTTTCTATCTCGACTTGAAGTATAAAGTCAACCTTTCTGAAAGCACGTGTTATATACATAGATGTTATGCCAATGTACTTCTCTTCATTTATGTTCACAATCCAGTCTGTTGGAAACTTAAATGTTACTCTGTTCCCCTTTATTTTGACGTCAGGGTTTTCACTACTGAACGCAACAGATAAAGGTATTTGTCTATACATTTAGTTCCGATAAAAATAACCCATTTACTCTTTCTTTGCTTCAGCTTCTTTAGCTTTTGCTTCAGCTTCTTCTCTAGCTTTCTTCGCCAGTAGTCTTGGGTTCTTTTGTCTTCCAGCAGCTAATGCAGCAAGTTGTTTTTCACTAAGTTTTCTCTTTGGTCTCTCTGGCTTTTGTTCTTTTTTGTTCCTTCAGTTCGGATAAAATTTGCTCACGAATTTCTTTCTTCAATGCTTCAACATCTATTGTCTGAGTCATTTGACTGCGGATAAAAATCTAACTTAAAACTTTAACCGATGTAAAATGAGCTTGTCAAAATCAGAGCGAGAGTCTATTATATTAAATGACGCCAGAGGAATACAACATCCTTTCTATTATGTAAGTCAGAGTAAAGATGGTAAAATATACGTAAGAAAAAGAAAGGTTCCATTAGCGAATGCAGAAAGCGACAGTATTAAGGTGCATGGCAAGGATGAAGTCCATGTTAAGCCTTCTATTCAAACTGAAAAGTCAATAGAACCAGAAGAAAAGAAGCCAGATGTACTTTCAATAACGAACCAAGAGCTTATTGCAAAGTTCGTGAATTTCATTGAAAAGCAAACCGAGTCAAAGAACCCTGACCCACCAATGAAAGAAGTTGAGACAAAAGAGAATGTACAGTTCATTGAAAATGTCAAGAAACAACTTCCACCACGAATGCCAAGAAGAAGAGTGAGAATAATGAAGTAAATAGATATTTTTATCCGAAGTAAATACATGCAGAACGAACAGTTAAACGAATTTACTCCAGCAGAGCATATTCATCAGATTCGCTCATATTTCGATATCATAGACAATGCAGTTCAAATTGGTGACACTAATAGAAAATATTCTGACGCAAAGATTCCATCACAACCTGGAACTGCTAAAGATAACACATGGGTAACATTCAATCTCTCACCTCCTGGTGAAAATATGTTGGACCTTTACAATACATTCATTACGTATAAAATGGAAGGTCAATTTATTGTAGATAAAGAAATTGGTTCAGGTTCCAATAAAACAAACCCACCAGGATTTTGGATTGGTTTCGATGACGCTTTCTATGCAGTTGCTGGATATCAAATCCTTGCAAATGGTCGTATCGTATATTCTCAAGACAACGCAAGAGAAGAAGCATATATAACTTCAAACTCACAAACTACCGAACAAATAAAGAAAGTATATGTTTTCTCAAAGGCTCGACATGAAGATGTATGGAGTCATTCGGGAACATGCAGAACAGGACAAATTGTTAGTGGTCCAATTACAGCAGGAAAATCATTTGATTGTAAGCTTCGTTTAAGAATTCCTGTTAGAAGATTCCTTCCATTAGAAGCTATTCGATTTATTCCAGCTTTTGCATGACACATTCAGCTTAAAGTAAAGTTCAGTAGCGACGCCTTACAATGCACATCTATATCTGTAAATGATATCATTGCTTTCAATCCAACTCTTAAAGTTGCATTTGCTTCAGATTCAAATCCACCGACAAATAAATTTGTTCCATGGAATGAACCATTCACTATGATAACGAAGGCAGTAGAAGCTAGTGGAACAGTTACTATTACAACTGTAACCCAGCAACTATTTCGAACAAAGCTGGATTTTAACGAATGTTTCATTCATCCAAAGTCATTCTCTTTAGACCCTAACATTTATACAGAACTTGTAGAACATTATACAAACGAGGCTTTATGTTTTCCTGTTAAAGTTATGGATTGGATTCCTATGGACGGTTCATTCTCAAAGAATACAGATAGTTCAAGTGCAACATTTACAGCAGCTTATACGCCTATTAATGTTAAAAGTATTTGGGCACTATTTAGAAAGAAAGACAACTATTATGTTAATTTTGAGAACCCTAAGTTTAAATATCTTCAGCTTTCCATGGGAGCTTATGGAAATATTTGCTTTATTTCTTTTCAATGACTCCTGAACCTATGGAAGTACAAACTCCTGTTCAAAAGTCAACTCCTAAACCGACTCCAACATTTAAACCAGAACCTACTCCTCAAATAAATCGTAAAACTCCTGCGTTTCCTTACTGAAAAAATAACGTTATTTTTATTTTATTTGAACATTTTATTTAGAGTAAAATGACGACTAAAGTCACTGAAGCAATGAAACAAAAGTTTTTGGTAGAATACATTAAATCAGGAACTATTCCAGAAGGTTTTTACATTCATACTATGAAGGATGGTAGAGTTCAGTTTAGAAAGATAAAGCAACCATTAGATAAAGAAGGTATATTAAGGAAGATTAAACTTCATGAGGACAACATTGCTGAACTTAAGAAGAAGTTAGAAGAGTTGGAGAAAGGAAGAGAGTTATAAAGCAATGAATTCAACAGGGTAGAAAAGAGGTTAGAAATGAGGTTAGATCTAACCTTCTACCCTAAGTTTATTTTTGCGCTATGTTTTCATACGTGTGAAGTCGTTAGTGAAGTCGTTAGTGTGTACGTTAATGTGTACGTTAGTGAGAACGTTAGTGTGAACGTTAGTGAGAACGTTAGTGAGAACGTTTATTTTTACATTAGTGAGTTCGTTAGTGTGTACGTTAGTGTGTACGTTAGTGTGTACGTTAGTGAGAACGTTTATTTTTTCATGCATGTGCATTGTGTCGCGGGGAGTTGCCATGGGCAATGACCTGCGCACAATATATAGCGTACAGAGAGGTGAGATGAGGTGGTTTATGTGATAAATACTTTACGTGGCAGAAATAGTTTAAGGTTAAGTTAGTGTGTACGTTTGTGTTGTAAAATATACGTTAACGGTTTGTAAAGTGTCAGATTGACATATTTTCGGTAAGATGGCGCGCAGTGCCACCATACTGAAGATATGTATATTAATTGCGTAATAATAAACATAATTTTTTAATTTCATTTTTAACAAGTTTTTTTAAATGTATGTAATGAATAATTCATTAGAATATGATAATGCACATTGTAACAGAATAGAACAATCACCAAATTTTTTTTTTTGAAATTAAAAAATAAAAGTAAAAAGTATAAAGTAATCTAACCAAAAAAGATATTTAAAAGAATTTTGGAAAAACAGAAAAGGATAATGATATTATTTTAGATACACAATCGATGTACTGAAGAATAATCCGGTAAAATGATGATATAAATTAGATTATTTACAAGTAGCTAAAAGAATAAAACTATAATATAAAATAAATGAAGTTTAATGAAACAATAAAGGTTAAATAAATAATAAAGATTTTTATTTTATATCAGTATTGAGAATAAGTAACAGCTGACACTTGGTAGGCAACTTCTTTATGTCTAGAAAATTCTATCTTGCCTTTTATTTTTTTCTCGCTGTGAAACGTATATTCGGTCATTTTTTTAAAAATTAATTTTTGTTAGAGATAAGAGCTAAAACTCGGTAAACAACTTCTTTATGTCTAGAAAATTCTATCTTGCCTTTTATTTTTTTCTCGCTGTGAAACGTATTCGGTCATTTTTTTAAAAATTAATTTTTTGTTAGAGATAAGAGCAAAACTCGGTAAACAACTTCTTTATGTCTAGAAAATTCTATCTTGCCTTTTATTTTTTTCTCGCTGTGAAACGTATTCGGTCTTTTTTTTAAAAATTAATTTTTTGTTAGAGATAAGAGCTAAAACTCGGTAAAACAACTTCTTTATGTCTAGAAAATTCTATCTTGCCTTTTATTTTTTTCTCGCTGTGAAACGTATTCGGTCATTTTTTTAAAAATTAATTTTTTGTTAGAGATAAGAGCTAAAACTCGGTAAACAACTTCTTTATGTCTAGAAAATTCTATCTTGCCTTTTATTTTTTTCTCGCTGTGAAACGTATTCGGTCTTTTTTTTAAAAATTAATTTTTTGTTAGAGATAAGAGCTAAAAACTCGGTAAACAACTTTTTATGTCTAGAAAATATCTTGCCTTTTATTTTTTTCTCGCTGTGAAACGTATTCGGTCTTTTTTTTAAAAATTAATTTTTTGTTAGAGATAAGAGCTAAAACTCGGTAAACAACTTCTTTATGTCTAGAAAATTCTATCTTGCCTTTTATTTTTTTCTCGCTGTGAAACGTATTCGGTCTTTTTTTTAAAAATTAATTTTTTGTTAGAGATAAGAAGCTAAAACTCGGTAAACAACTTCTTTATGTCTAGAAAATTCTATCTTGCCTTTTATTTTTTTCTCGCTGTGAAACGTATTCGGTCATTTTTTTAAAATTAATTTTTTGTTAGAGATAAGAGCTAAAACTTTGCAGACAACTCCCCCATGTCTAGCAAATTTAACATTCGTCTCCCATTTTTATATATTTGGTTTAGAATGTTCGAAAATGCGTAATATGGTCATTAATATTAATTGAAAAGAACCTTGAATTAATTCAATCTGATCTCACAAAATATTTTAAATTACAAACTTTGTAGTTTGAATAGATAATTAGTATTAAACTCAAATAACTAGTTTATTTTTGAATAAAAATTATTTGAATTTATTCAATTTTGTGATTTTTCCTTCAAAAATCAAGTTTAAATATCTTATTTGCCATATAATTATAAATACAATGAAACATATTCGAAATTGAAAAGAATGACTTTTTCTGTTCTTTCAATCATTCAATTTGAATTTTGCAATATTGGATTTCTCATTAAATAGCTATTAAAAACAACAAGCAATTTAACTTACATTCAAATTTATTTGTGTTATATTCAATCTTCTCAAAACTTATAATTTTCGGCTATAGCATGATTATATGCTATATAATATAATAAACCTATAATAGTATCATTCTTTCAATTATTTGAAGAGAAAACCGAAAAAATCTTTTTTCGGTCTATAACAATATAAAATTGAGAGCAAATAATAAAAAGTTGCTAAGTCATGATTTTATCTTTCATATTCTAACATAAACTATTGATACAAACTAATTCCCGAAATTTTGACAAATATAAGATTTTGAATTTCTAAAAGAAATATTTGAAATATTTTAATAATATAAACTTCATGCATTCTTGCTTGATAATAGATTTATCAATTCAACAATGAACTATATCAGACATTTCAGATCAAAAGATATCCAAAATCAAAACCATTATGAACAATCTATCTTTTGGTCCACAACATTGATGTGAAAAGCGTAAAAATGTAAGAAAGTATTATAAAAAGAAGATAATAATAAATCATAATAAATTTACTGATTGATAAGTAAAGTCATAAATATTTAGCTGGTGCTATCAGAGCTGCTGTTTGAATCAGAGCTTTCGTCGCTAGTATCATGATGATGGCCGCTTTCATGTCCACGGTGGCTGCTGTGAGCAGATCCCGAACTGTGATGGTGAGAGCCATGCTTCGATGATTCCTCTTCAGATGATTCTTCTTTCTGTTCTTCGACCTGGTTTGCATATCTTGGAGGATTCCATGTGTCGTCTCCAAATTTCCGCATGAATCTTTCACGTTGCTGAATTGATACTTCTGGCTTATGACGATGATCGCGGTTTGATGGAGTGCGTCCACTTTCTGTGACATCTCCTTCCTTCACTCTCTGCTCGTAGCATCTCTTACAATGAGGTCTGTTATGGCAGCACAAAGCATCTCTTGTATCAAGTATTTTGCCGCATATTCTGCAGCAGAAGCATCTCTTGTGATAGAACTTGTTATGCCAGCGGATTTTTGTGATATCGTGTAAAGCAATTTCGTTCTTGCAATATGCGCAGCTCTTGAGATATCTAATACCTTGCTCTGGGCAGTAATATCTGTTGTGGTGAACGACGAAGTTCTTTCCCTTCAAAGTTTTTTCGCATTCGTAACAATTGAAGCATTTGACATGGAAATTATGGGTTCTGTCGTTAACATACCTGCCAAGGATTGGTTTATCGCATTTCTTGCATTTGCGCTGATTAGCTATTTGTTTGCATTTCAAGCAACAAACTTCATTCATTACTACTTGGTAGTTTTCTTCCGTTAATTTGGTTGTGCATTCGAAACATCTCAAACAATCCTTATGAATTGCATGTCCTAACTCGCGAAGTGAAATAATTTGATCTGTATCCTCAAGGAAGTCAGAGCAAACGTAGCAACGATTGAGTTTTCCGTTGATCTTAGCGCACTTCAAGCATAATGGTGATTCCTTATGTATTATGCACTCTGGTGGAGTCAAGACTTTGTTGCATTTACTGCACTTGAAGCAGTCAGGGCAATAGCAATTACCAAATGCATAAAGGAACTTATCTTTGCATGTTTTGCTGCATACTCTGCATGTTTTGAGCAAAGAAGTTTCTGGACCTTCATCTGCTCTGAACGGAGATCCAGTTTGCTTTGGTGCTTGTGTCTTTGGAGGTGGTGTAGAAATCATACCACTCTGGAATGCCATTGAGTTTGGTGTAGCCATCATACCACTCTGGAATGCCATTGAGTTTGGTGTAGCCATCATACCACTCTGGAATGCCATTGAGTTTGGTGTAGCCATCATACCACTCTGGAATGCCATTGAGTTTGGTGTAGCCATCATACCACTCTGGAATGCCATAGGATTAGGAGCTGGAGGTGGTGGTCCTGCCATCATTCCGCTCTGGAAATTCATCTGATTTTGCTGCATAGCGATTGTTCCTTGAGCTGGTGGTGGGGGCATCATTCCGCTTTGGAAGCCAGCTGCAGGTGGTGGAGGCATCATTCCATGAGCAGATGGAGGGGGCATGACACCAGGCTCTGGAAGTTGAGTGCCGAGTGGTGCCTGTTGAACGAATCTTTGAGAACCAAATCCGCTGTCCATCGGTGGAGGGGGAAGACCTGAACTTGGTGGTGGTGGAGGTAAGCCGCCAGGCATTGTCTTCATTGTGGTTGTTGATTCCGTATAAATCATATTGCTGTTCATTGGAGGTGGTGGAGGGAATCCAGTGCCAGGTGGAGGTGGCAATCCACCGCCAGGAGGTGGAGGTAAGCCACCATTTGGTGGTGGCGGTAAGCCATTATTTGGAGGAGGAGGAAGGCCACTGCTTGGTGGAGGTGGTAAACCGCTGTTTGGTGGTGGAGGTAAGCTATTGTTTGGTGGTGGAGGGAGAATTCCGCCTGGAGGAGGAAGTAGACCACTAACTCCTGGTGGAGGTGGCAATCCATCTGGGGATGGAGGAAGTCCACTCATATTTTTGATATAAAATTCATTCAAAAAATTGAAAAATTTAATTTGAAATAAAAAAAGTTTTTCTGTTTCGATTTTGAGCAATTATAAAATGAGTGTATGATATGATGGAATTTGTCTTTGGATCCAATATTCAAGAAAAATCATATTAGTTCGATTTTATACTGTTCTTCAAGAAATATTGATTTCCGAATATTCAAATCCAAGTTCCATCAATGATAATACTTGGATGCAATTTGTGTGCGAATTCAAATAGCATTCGATTAGTATGTTCAGGTTTGAGATGAAATTTTGAAAATCTTGTATTCGTTTGTAATAGTGGATTTGGTTCAACAATTGCCTGCTATGGAGCTAAATTCAAATAATTTTTGTTGTAAATCTGTATATATAAGATGATATAAGTCGGAATAATATAAAACATTAAAATGTTAACTTAATTCAGGGTATTGCATTTTGGAATCATAACTTCTGGTTAGACCGAAATGGATTTAGTTATCTATTTGTGGTGGTAGACAACTCATATTTTTCTCAAAGAATTCAACCAAAAATTTAAAATCATGGAGAAACGTGGATTATGGTAGGTATTCTCCCTAATCGCTTTTGGTTTTTCCGCATTTTTTAAACTGCTGCATAATCAAGAGGAGTTTTTCCAATTCAATTTATAACTTCACAAAGAAAAGTAAACTTGAAAATAATGAGAAGAAAAACACTTTTTTTATTATAAATCCTTAAACTGAAAGCAATGCGATGCCGCCATCAGCACCAGCAGACATTACATGAGAGTTATCAACAAATCTGATATCGGCTGCTGATGAGCTATGAACTGGTGAAGAAGAGATCATCTTCATTGAAGCTGTATTCCAAACAGAAACATCGCCATTGATATGGCCAATTGCAAACTTTTCACCATCAGGAGAAAGTGAAATTGTGTTTGCTTCCATTGTTTTAATGGAAGAAACAGGTTTAGTTCCTGTTGAAGGAGCCAATTTATAGATATGGCCATCTTGTGTTGCAGCGAGCAATGTATCATCATAAAGACAGATATCTCTAACTCCTGATTCGAAGCAAGTGAATCTTTCGAGGAGTTCTTCTGTCTGAATATCGAATAAGCAAACGCTCTTATCGATGGAAGAAGAGTAGATATGAGTTGCCGAGTTAACAAAGCAGATTGCGGAGATAGGAGCATCATGCTTAGCGAACTTAGTCATCATATTACGTGTTCTTACATCCCAAAGCCTTACCGTCGTGTCATCACCACCTGATGCAAAGAATCTTCTCGTTGGAGCGACTTCAAGGATGTTAACACATGTATGGTGTCCGTGCTCTATCTTAAATAGATGTTCGCCTGTCGTGAAGTCATATCCACCGATAGCACCGTTCTCGTGGCCGATAACCAATAATGAGGGGGATAAACCAACACAATGTGGGGGAGAGTGGTAATTGACTTTGAATGACAAATTGCAGGAAAGATTGGAACTGTTCCAGACTTTGATGGTTTCGTCAACACATGAGCTGACAGCTGTACCGTTACAAACTGAAATGGATGTAACTTCGTGTGGATGGCTGTCCCAAATCACGGATCCGTCGTTTCCCATTAAAGATCCGTCTTCTGTAATAAGGCGGCTATCGTAAATTGAAGCAATCGGACATTTAATGTTCTGAAGAAGCTGAGATCCATCTTCGTTGATCGCAAATATGCATCCATCGCGGCAAGATGCAATTATTCCGCCATCTGGTGCGCTGTAGATTGATGTAACGGAGCCTTTGCCAAGATGATTGACTTTGATCATTGTAAGGCTGTGTAAATCAAAGACTAAGACATCAGAAGACGATGTTCCACATAATAAATATGTTTTTGTAAAAGCCATGGCTTTGATGTCACGTGTATATTTTCCTTGTGGAAGATTTGTTGTATCAATCTTTCCTGATGGATCAACAATGTGAAGCTGGACGCCGTTTGGACCTGATGTAGCAAGATAGAATGTAAGAGTTGGTCTGCCTTTGACATCAGGAACTTGTCCTCCCCATTTAACACAATTTGCAAATTGTATCTTCTTGTGGAGAACCATATTTCCTGATGCCATATCCCAAATGATCAGGCGATTATCATTTGCTGTTGTTGCAAGAAGACGCTCATCATTACTGAAGTTAATGGCAGTAATTCCGTTGTCGTGCTCTGATAAACTGTATAATTGTTGTTTTGTCTTGTAATTCCAGACAATAATATCTGATTCACGACCATTTTCGCCTGATGCAATCATTCTGCCTTTTGGAGACATGTCAATTGCAGAAATTGTGTTTTTATGCCCTCTTAAAAATTTTTGTTTTCCGCTTTGATCTTCAATGATGATATTCTTTGCATATGGATAAATTGTGCTGTCATCTATTGGATTTACAAAGAGACATGGCGTTGTAATTGATGAAAAGCCTCGGAATGAAACAAAATCCATAAATGAACGTTTTAAAAAATTGAATCAAAAATAATCGTAAAATAAATAACATTTGCTGGAATCAAAGAAAAAAGCTATTTATATTAAAAAATACAAAACAATAAAACAAAATAAGCCTATACAGCTTGAATAATAGACTATAGAATGATAAATAAATTTGATCAAATCAAAAAATGAGAACACGCATAATAAATCTTGAATTTTGCCGAATTAGTAGATATCAGTGGGGTAACAAAGGGATATATCGATATTATTCGGTGATAATTAATCATTATTTTCGAGGAAGTTTCTGGTTTCTTCTTTTTCTGGATTTGCCCATGGAGTTTGCAACGTAATGCCGTTCTTTTTCTTTTTCTTCTGAGCAGCAAATCCAAGAAACAGAGAAATCATCGCATGAACTACAGATTGGTAAATAATAGTAATTCCGATAGCTTCTGTTGGTTCTGCAATTGTAGAATGTATAGATGTAAGACATGGTGTAGCTGAGATATTGCAAGGATCATTATAAAATTGATTAAATTTATGAAAACTGCAGCATTTGAACTTTTTCTCAATATCAATGATAAATGATTGATTTAATGACTTTTCCCAAACGTTTATCATTGTTGATATGTATCCTTTTGAATCTGACCATAAGAATAAACCATAATAAAACTCTAGTAAGCCAAACAAACCAATTGCATAAGATATGATAAAGGTAATTAAGTTAGTGCATTTCTTTACGATGAAATATGTTATCAATACTGTTAAAAATGATACTATAAAAGAAACGAAATTTAGAATTTCGATTGTGCGGTCGAGATTGACTAAACCAGTTGTCGTAAGCCAAAACCGTATGGCTGATATCATGAAAAATGTTGATATTGTTGAAGCAATTGATAGTAATAAGGAAAGAAGTCCAATCCAATTCATTTTTTATGGAGAGAAAATCAATAATAATGGAGTTGAGGTTACGAAAAGAGTTAAAATCGAAATCTGTTAAAGGTATCTTTTGATTTTCATGATCAAAATAGCTCGCAGTGCTTTGATATTTGGAGATTTTTGAAAAATCAAAATAATTTATCCCATAATGCAAAATATCATCTTAGACAGTTCTAGATTTTTCAAATTCATTCAAGAACACTTGAAAATTCTTCTAAATTTCGAAATATAATTTATGAAACATATCTAATCAAGACCCATTAATTCATGATAACCACAAGGTGAAATTTAAAAACATATGTTTGATACATGGAATATATTTAAAATAAAAAACAAAATTAAAAATAACCAATAGCATGGATAGAAATAAGAGAACAATTTCCTATAATTCTTCATGATATGGTGGAATCCCGAATTATTTGTCCAAATTCATAATTTTTGTGGCAATCAAATAAACTGCTTCTTCAAGTAGTTTTCCGTGAGTATTCTTAATGTTTCCTTCGAGATTGCAGATAACATTCTTCAGTTCTTCCTCATTGAATAAGAGAACTTGCTGTAAAGTGCATTCTGTCAGCCAATGGAATGAAAAACGAAGATTGTGTGAATCTGATACTTTCTGATTGAATGACCAGAATGATTCACGGTTTTGCAACGTCCATCTCTTTCGAATTGAAAGCTTCACAACTTCATCGGATCTGGCAACATTTAATGTCTTCAACAATGGTTCAATGCTGTAAACTATTTGAATTCCATTAACCATCTCGGCTGAATCTTTGCCAAAGTCCATTTTAGGTAATTTATGGCGGCAATATGGGCATCGAAAAGTGTGTAAACGTTCAAAACAGCTCATTGACCACTTGGACAAGCATGATACACACACATAATGACCACATATCAACTGAATCAATTTGTGTGAATGTGAGAAACAGACGCAGCATTCCTCGTTCTCGGTATCTGTTGAAAATTCGTCATTGAAATCTTTGCATTTTGAGAAATCGACTTCAATCTCAGGCAATATGAATCGGTAAACACATTCTAGGTCTTGCCTATTTTGTAGGAAGTCACCAACTAAATATTGATTTCCTCCTGCAAAGACAACTTCATCCTTATGGAATAATTCATCTCTGATAATTTTCTGACCATTGATAAATGTGCCATTAACAGAATGCAAGTCATCTATTGTAAAATAACAATCAAAGTATTTTATATGACGATGAATGCATGCATGGAGCTTAGAAACTTCTTTCTTTTTCGTTGTATCCATTTTCACATCTCCTCTTCTTCCAATTGTTGTTTCTGTTTTATTGAGAATGATAGCCTTTGGACATGTGGCATTTGGCTTATCGCTAATTCGGATTAAAAAGGCGGATGTATTAGCAAGCATAAACCAAAATACTTTACTCCAGTTTATTAAATTTCGATAAATGGCTGAAAAGTGAGAGAAATATTTTATCGGAATTTTAAAAGTTCAATAAATATATTAATTATCTGTGTACTAATATATGTTCAAAAAATCTCGATATTTTGAATTAAGTATTTAATTTTTAATTATGTTAATCTTACTACGAATCACATTTGCTGAATGATTATTTTTATCCATACAGTTGCAAAAAAATGGTTTTTTATTTGAATATTGTTACTATAGCCATTATAATTAAATGTATGAATGAATTAAATTGATGGGTAATTCAATAATTTTTTCGAATGTATTCAATAATTTGTTATAAACCGATAAGAAGATAATACAAAAGTTGAATTTAAAAATTCGGTCATTGAGTCATAATTATTCCATAATCATGTAGCATAAGGATGTCAATTCGGAAAATTGTTTTCGTTTTAGGAGAATATAATTTTCCGTTTGGAAAATTTAAAAAGTGAGACGCGCAGGATTCGAACTTTATTAAAAGTTGATTTAAATATATTCTAGTGTGGAATCTAAGGATAATATCATATTTAAAATAAGAATATACGAGTTTAGGTAGTATTATTTTTTTCGATAAATTTGAGAGTATGTACGTTTAGGACATCAAAAGTGTCAATTCGCTCAGCGAAAGCTGAGCTAGCTTCGTTCTCGAAAGAATAGGGAAGGAGTGAAAGAGAGTGATACAGATGTTGACACATTCATATCATTTCAACAAATTTTGATCAAATTGAAATGCAATGAAATTCAATTCACTTCATATCCTTCAGTCAGTACATCGACATCCTTCTACATCACAATGATAACTCGTGCATCAATAGTTCTACAACTAACTCAGAAAAAACAAGATTTTTCCTTCCAGCTTACAGCTTTTAAAAAGTTTCGATGATAAAAATCACTCTACTCTTGTTTATCGATATGTTGTGATAGTAGGTAAACGTATTCTTATCGATATTAATAAAAATATTTTTACGAAAATCTGAACCAATTACAGAGTTATTCATAAAGTTTATGATAACTGTAATTACTTCATCTTTGTTTTATATTTGAATAAACAATTTAATTTAATTTGCATAATTTTTTTAGTTGAAAGACAGGAAACTTAGTTGAGTTTGTATTATTTTTATCGTTCAATTCATTGTATATTGTTGTAAACAGAAATTCATCAAAAGTGACACCTCAGAAAAGCTAAAATATTGAATTTTTGGAACTTTTGATAGAGCACGTTTTTAAATATTAATTTAAGTAAATGTATATTTTGTAAAGATTCTTTTTAATAAAAAAATAAAATTTTGAAGGAGAACACAAAATCTTCTGAAAAATAATATCACATAAACTCATATTATTTTCTAATATATAACTATTTTTATAAAAATCAAATTCAATGATCTTAAAAGCGAAGGATAAACCTCAAAATTTACGAATATAATGAGTGGGAATATAATGCTTATCTATCATAAAACAATATGAAATATTCCCACTCATTATATTCGTAAATTTTGAGGTTTATCCTTCGCTTTTAAGATCATTGAATTTGATTTTTATATAAAATAGTTATATATTAGAAAATAATATGAGTTTATGTGATATTATTTTTCAGAAGATTTCATTCTATATGCCTATGAAAAGTACTCTCAAAACTAACTTTTTCCTAATTATAATTAAATCTAGAATATTATATTATGCATAGTATTATTTCATTTTTCTCATTCAATTTAGAATTTACAAATGTCAAAAAATTGAGAGCTGTCACTTTTGATGAATTTCTGTTTATTACAATATGTGAGTGATCCAGATATTTAAGATATTTGTTAATTTTATGAGAATAAATTTAAAATCTCATGAAATATAAAGGAGAGTAATATTTTTCATTTTTCTTTTTTTCTTTCTCTCAAATATTTTCTATTGGGAATTTTCTTGTTATCAAAAAATAATTTTAATATTTGTTTATTTCATTACATACAATAAAATTTTAAAAACTCTATTTCTTCACAAGAAAATTTTTTCCTTCATATGAAGAAACATTTTGTTCTCCATTTGATGCTGAGTCTAAATCTCGATTTTTGAATTTTCTTCTTTCCAAATTTCTTTTTTCCAAATTAGAAGTTTAATTCAAATTTTCAATAGTTTATATATTTTCTCAAACCGTCTCAGATTTTCTCACTTTTTAGGGATTTTCTCTCAAAATATACAAAAATAGTAATATCAATACATGTGTCTAATATACTTTAAAACCATCGAAAAAAAAAAAAAAAAAAAAAAAAAGGTAGTGGGGCTTCCAGGCACTTCGTGCCCTCTAGCCCCGAAGATGAATGAGTATAATGAAGTTTTTTTTTCTTGGGGTGACCTTCCAGGCACTTCGTGCCTTCTAGCCCACATAAATGAAGTTTTTATTCGGAGGTCTTCCAGGAGCTTTTCACAAATTATATATGTTTTCATGTTTTGTCAAGACTTCTTCGTAAATGTTTTGTCAAGACTTCTTCGTAAATGTTTTGTCAAGACTTCTTCGTAAATGTTTTGTCAAGACTTCTTCGTAATGAGCGTAAATGACCCAAAAATAATGTTTATGTTAGAATGTTAGATCTAACACGTTTTCTAACATGTTTTCTAACATCGTAGAAACTCATGATTTCATCGTAAATGTTTTGTCAAGACTTCTTCATCGTAAATGTTTTTAACTTCACTTAAAATGCCACGTAAGCTACGTAAGAATATACGTAAGAGGAAGAGAGCATTGAAACATCCAATAGTAAAACTGACACCACAACAACAGTTGCAACAACAAATGCTGAATGACCCCACTATGTTGCAACAAATGTCAAGCAATCCTATGCTTTTAAACCGAGTCATTGGTGCACAGAGTGGAGGTTTAAGAGCGGCACTTTTAGCGAAAATGGCAGGCTATGGTGGAGCTGCAGACGGAACAGCCTATAACCCTCAAAGTCAAATGAATTTTGAGTTCACTCAAAAATCAAATAACAGATGTCAAAAAGTCAACATAGACATACAGAAAACAAATAAGTGAAAACGAAAAGAAACTAGAATATGACAGACACACAAAGAAACTCAATGAGTTAAACGTAGAGAAAAAGAAGAAAGAAGAACAACTGAAAGAACTAAGTACAGAGGAATATGCGAAAAAAGTGTCAGAAAAAGCAGCAGAAGTAGCAAAAATGGAACAAGATGTCATAAATTTGAAAAACCATACTACTCAATATAAAATACTGAAAGATGAAGAGATAAAACAAAAAGCCCTGAAGACATATATGGATAGCGATGAGTAAAAAAAGAAGTTGAAGCAAATGTAAAGGCAGAAAACTTTTACAGTTGCAAAACCAAACCGTACAGTATGAAAACTTAGCACAAGAAAGTAAAAATAACGACGCAGCCATGCAAAAGGCAATGAAAGCGCAGAATATATAAAGCTAATAATGACTGGTTAGATGCCCAAGCCAACGCTAAAGCAGCCCAACTTATAGGGTCAATAAGGACAAAAATACAAGCGGATGAAGACAGTTCAAATGAAGCTTTACAAATGCTGACTTTAAGAACGCTTTCGAAGCTCTTCATAGTAAGGTGAAACAAGTGAACGACTTCTCATCTGGAAAGAAACTGAAGTCTGAAGGTTTCGACAAAGAGTTAAAAGAAGTAGCACAAAATATGACGAAAATAACAGATGCAGCAACGAGACAGGCAGTTCAAAGTGCCTATGACGCCGTTAGAGCAACTGTTGTGAAAAGTCAAGAAAAAGAGTTACAACAGACCAAAACAGACCTAGTAAATGCTTTCTTAAAAACGAAAAGTCAGGTAGGACATTACGCTGCAGATGGAACATATGTGCCAGCTGGTGGAACTTATATACCACCAAACCCTCCAAGAGAAGCACCTGCACCAGGACTACCTAGAACATTTACATCGTCACATGGACACAGACACAGGCATGCACAACAACCACCTCCACAACCAGCACAACAACCAACACAACAACCAGCACAACAACCAACACAACAACCAGCACAGCAACCAACAGTTCAAAACCCTGCACAACAACAACCACAAACAGAGCAAGGACATAAAAGAAGTAGAGAACAAGGAAACCAAGAATTCTTAAAAATGCTTAAAGAAGAGTGTGGTTTCCCAGATACTGTTGACTTTAGTGACAGATATAAAGAAGCTATAGAAAGTTCAAGGATGGAAATACTGACCCGAACCTATTTAGCTTTATGGCTCAGCACCAAAACGGATATAATCTCAAACCTGGAAAATACAAGCTCGCTAAGGGATATGATTTAATAGCATATCATCCAAATGACATGGATGAATTTACTCCGAGATATTTGATGTCAGAGCTAAATGACAATTCAACTTTCGTCATGAAACGCGTAAAAAATAGAGACGGAACGAAAGAACAAAAGCTTATGAATGCGGATGACGTAAATAGGGAAATTGTTGAAAACGGTCTCGGAATATATGAAATGCCAGCAGATGAGGTACAAGAAACTCAACAGGAAGAAGTTCAGATACAACCAGACATGGAAGAAATAGTTCAGCAACAACAGCTAGAAGAGCCTGAAGGAAACGAACAAGTCCTTCCTTTGGAAACTAACTTCACAGAACTAGATGAAGATTTGGAACAGCCGAAAAATCTTGACCCTCAACAAGAGCATGAGGTGAATATGGAATCTTTCCAAGAGTCTAAGAAAGATTCGGCTGACATAGTAGAAGAATATCGAAAAATGTTTGCCGACATACAAAAGACCCAACACCAGATGAAAATATTCAGCATAGAATGAAAGTACTGAAAGAAAATGTACACAAATACAACAACCCTTTTTACTTACGAGCATTTAACGTTCAATCTTCGGATGAACTCGGTGAAAATAAAAGGTTAAATTTCAAGAAAACATATAGAAATGAAACATTGTTTAAAGTTCATTCAGAACCTAACCAAGATGGAAACAAACCTACTTTTGTTTCTGCAGACGATGGAACTACAATGAGATGGGGTCATAAAGCTAATCCAGATAGGTGGTTCATAAACTTACAACCACAATTCCAAGAAGTTGTAGACGCAATGGAAGTCAATGGTGAACGAGATATAGCTGGTATTTTAAGCGCGGCTTTAATGCCATTGAAAGATATGAAACATGCAGATATTTTGGACCAGTATGAAATGAACATGGCTGATGGAAATATAACACCTGACGTTCTAAAACATTTATCTCAAAGAACTACACAGAACCATAGAGATGGTATATTTGGTGAAGAGTTTAGAAAGAAAGTTAGGGAGATAGAAGGAAGAGAACCTATTGTACATGACCTTGCAAACGAAAGTTTACAAAATGTCATAAAAACTTACTTTGCAGACAATGAACCGAGAAGGATGAATATTTAAAAAACTCAAATGGACAGTACCAAATGAAATGTTAGTATTGAAAAACATTTCCTTGACAAAATAAAAACCAACTACAGAAATAAACGACGCAAGACTGAAAGATTGGGTAGAAGCTTTCCCATTCACAAAAGATATAGTTGGTAACATGGAAAGAAAACCAGAATGGCTACAAAAACATATATTTGGAAACGAGCATATTCCATATGGACAGGCACTGTTTGAAGAGCTTGAACCAGAAACTCAGGAAAGAGTCATGCAAACAATACGCGAAGACTCAAATACAGACTATGACAAACTCTTTCTAGGATATAGGTTACCTGAGATGGCGACCAGAGCCAAAAGGCAAAAAGGACATGGGAAATTTGCAACATACTAGATGAACATAATGCAAAGATGCAACAACTTCAAGCAGAGGGCAATGAAGGAAAAAGAAGAGTTAAAAACTCAGTCAGGAAGAAAGTAAAGCTTGGTCCACATGGGTTCTATTATGACATATAAATCCAACTATTCTATATTTTACTCATATGAAATGTACGCCGCTCAGAATATAACGCCAACAGTTTTGGATGCTATGAATGGAAATGTTTCCGAATGGTATAACGAATGCGACAATGCCATTAGAAGGTCAGAAATAGTTCCTGGAACTTACGAATATACAACTGCTGTTTCTTATGGAAATGTAGGTGAGTTTGGAGAAGGTTCTTCAACAACAGTAGATATTGCTTGCGACAGGTTTCATATAATTTCTATTGACAACTCATTCTTATACGTGGAACAAGACATTGAAATAAACCTTCTGCCAAGTTGTCTGACAAGAAAGGTTGCAATGGAATTTTCTATGTCGGATACCAATATGCTCCAGAAGTTTTCATGGGATATAAGATATATTCTAACTCTGACTTAGTTCAAACAGTAACATGGGCAAACTATGAATGGTTCGCTTTTGAGAAACTCAGTACAACCACAAGCTAGAGAACAAACAGACCAGTATGCAAACTATTGAGAAAATAAGAAGACTTGACCCTAACGTTCCAGGAGTTTATGTTGACCTTTCTGGACAAACTGCAGCAGCAGTAACCAAAGTAAAACTGAAACTTAGAGTTCCTTTGTCATCTTTCCTCATCTTCAGGTTTTTAAGATACTTGCCAAACTGGGCAGGAAAAATTTCTATCGAAACTTACTCCAAGCAAAAATAACTTAGTCATTGCACCAACGCAAGACCCATTCACTCTTACAGACGTAAAGGGAGCAAATCAAACGTCATTCGCCGACTTTTGCAAAGACAAAGTTGACTTAGACTTTGGTTTCTCAAACTTCAACACTGAAGTAAACTACTACTTCAATGCTGCTGGAACTGCTTGGGACCCAGTTAAGTTCACATGCGAAAAGTTTGAATGCAAGAGAATAGAAAGCAGACTTGCAGTCTATATGTTGGACCCAGATATTTCAAATGCTTTAGCTGCCAAATATATTGCAGTTCCACTTATGTTCCCTATACACCAAATATCTGTCAAAGACTTTGCAGGTGAAGTTGGAAACCAAAGTGCTGACCCAGGTGCAAGAACAGATATTGCCTTAACAACTGCAATGAAACATGCAGATACTATGTTTGTACTGTTCAGACGAACTATAAATGACTATTCTTGCTTCTACAACCCTGGTATTAAATATCATATAAACATAGATGGCAAATACTATCCAAGAGAAGAATATTCTACAGTTGAGGATATGAGGTCATACAACTTGACATTAGATGCTATGAACTTTAACAACAACTTCACAACAACCATTAACCCTGAAATGCAAAGTTCTATTATGCCATATGTGAAAGTATGGACTCATACAGGAGCTCAAAAAACTCAATATACAAATGGAGACCGTTCAAACTTTTGGCTTGGCATTCCATTTGCTGACTCAGAAGACTTTATGGGTGGTATTTCAACTGTTGGTACAGTTCAAATACAATATACTGGTGACAGAGACGGTCCAGATGAATTGAAAGCAAAGAAGTTTACAAAACCAATAGCACTTTTCACGGAAGATGCTCTTTTGAAGATTCGTTCGATGAAACCTGCTGGGGCTCCTCAGATTGGTATAACGACAGCTTCCATCGAGCAGATTTTGGCAGCAGGTCAGTAAGTTGTTCTTGAACTGACTTCTCTCCGTCAAATATTGACAGTACGCCAGTTTTGACATAAAATTGTAAGATAAACTTACCTTTAGAAATATCTGTAAGTTTTGTTGTTATATTTTTGTCAACGTCAAGAACTTTCACCATCTCGGTTATACCAACTTTCTTTGCTTTATGAAAATATTTTGGTTCAGCAAAGACTGCTATTCTATAACATTTTCCATTGTTTGTATAAAGAACTATTCTATCAATGAACTTGTATTGTTTGTGTGTGTAAACTTTGTTCTGCTTCAATTCGAAGAGATACTCAAATACGTCCATCTTTTTATTCTAAGTAAAATGTCATTTCCGAAAAATAGAAGCGTAAGTGTTTCAAAAGGTTTAATGGCGATGGCAGATGTGAAGTTAAATTCACCAACTCAAACAAACAGTCAAAGTGTTGTTGTCAATGTCAAAGAAAGAGATGTTGAAGTGGGGAAACCATACGAAGACGAAGATGGTATAACAATAGTTCCTGTAAAAGAACAACCAACATATCCTGAAGTTAGCAGAGACTTAAGTTCTGTTGCAGATATTCGAAATGACTACCAACAACTGAAAGACAAACTTAAAACTCAGGAGAAGATTTGTCAAGCTTTAGGTATAATGTTAAACTTGGTCGAACACAACCCTGTAAAAGTGAACTCATATGTCATTGCACCTCATGAAGTTTTGAAAGAACTATTGAAACTTTTGACAGAGGCAGACGATATAAACATCAAAGAAATAGAACCCGACATTAGTTGCTGTGGTGTTTCATATAATGTCATTGACAAGATATACGTTATGAAAGGAGGTGAAACGTTGAACTTAAAATATAGTTTCCCAGACGTTATAAAAATATTTGACGACCACAACATTTCATTAAAATTTATTTGCTAAGTAAATGGCAGAAGATATAATGGTTTATACTATTACGACTAAAAACCCTGAGTCATATAATTCTATAACAACAAACTTACAAAGTCCTCAAGGACGGTATTGTAAACTAACCTTAAACACAATGACGACTAAAGCCTGTTTTGCTCTTTTGACACCAGAAGATTTTATTGTTGTGAATGGTAAAAAATACTCCTTTGAAGATACTTACTCAGATATACCACCAACAGGTTTTGTTGACTTATTTAATACTTTAAGGACGAGTGTAACATGTGCTGCAACTAGAGCAGGTTTCATTATGTTTGGATGTCCGACTGAGTTTACTATAAACGATATGAGCTATAATACAAAACTTATATCTGGTTTTTACTACCAACAGTTTCCTATAACAGGAAAAGGTGTCATACAAGGTTTGTCTGTTCCATTGACTTTAAGTACACCTATTTTATATATTGTTTCAAACTTAGGTTCAAAGTGTTATTCGAATGTCGACAGAAACTATTATGACCAAAAGATACTTATGCGTATAAACAATACTTTCTCTGCTGGTTTGCCTATTGTTCATTCGAATGCAGAATTTTCAACCTTAGTGAACTCAAACACTTTGGCAAGTATAACGTTGACATTAGTTGACGCAAACTTTGTTCCTGTAAAACTTTTATGTCCTATGTATTTGTCAATGACGGCAGAAAGTTTCGAATTGGAAGATGCAACTGGTGAAAGTATTGTACTACAAGAACAACTTCAACAACAAATAGCTCAAGAACAACAAATGCAACAAATAGCTCAAGAATAAAAAAAATATTTTTTTATTTTTATAAAAATGTACAGAATAGATGTTTCAGATTTTTATGACTTCCAAGCATTCAGAAATATGTGTCCATTTCGAGACTATAACAAAGCAGTCGAGAATTTGAAACGTTTAGTCATTTATGTCGACTCTGCCCCAGAATGTTATGTCATGAAAGAATGGGATGTTGTCTTTAACAAACCTAAAGCGACAATAGTTTCAGAACAAGAATGTAGACAGAAACTTAAGAAAATAAAAGTTGTACAAGTTGGAATGAAGATGTTAGATGCTTGGGATATCTTATTGTCAAAGTTAGAAGATTTTTCAGTTCGAGGTATAAAGTTCTATACACCTTCTCCAAACTTCTATTCTATCTTCACTGGATATAAATACGAACAAGTAGAATGGAAAGAAAATATTATAGAAGCTTGGTTAGACCATGTCAAAGAAATTATATGCAATGGAAACGAAAGAGTCTATGAGTATATCTTATGTTGGTTTGCAAATATCTTACAACATCCAAGTGCTAAAAATGAAACTGCTCTCATTATAATTGGAAAACAAGGAACTGGTAAGAATACTTTCTTTACAGATATTTGTGCAAACTGTTAGAAGGTTATTCGAATCCGAATATGACAAACTTAGAAAACATCTGTGGCAAGTTTAACTCCTCAATTGAGAATATGAAACTTATAGTTTGCAATGAACTTCAAAGTATAGATACAACAAAAGTTTTGAACTCAGATGCTTTGAAGAGTCTTATAACAGACAAAGTTGGAGTTGTTGAAAGAAAGTATAAAGACCAAAGAGTTTGTGAAAATGTTGCAAATTTCATCATGGTTTCAAACAATGCTGTTCCGATGAAGTTAGAAAGTTCTGACAGAAGATATGTAGTTGTCAGAACGTCAGATTCTCATATGCAAGATACAGAATATTTTGACGCTTTGTCAGAATGTTTGACATCTGACTTTTACAACCACTTGTTCTCATATTTCATGACATTAGATATTTCTAAGTTCAATCCAAGACAAATTCCATATACCGATGAGAGACAAACATTGTTAGAAGCAAACAAGAGTGTTTATGAACTGTTTATAGATGAGACTAACTTTGAGTGTTTAGATGAAAGGTCATTGTACGATGAATATAAACAATATTGTCAAGAGTATGGTTATATGGCAGCTTCTAAACGAACATTCTTGGCAAATGTCAAAAATCTTTTAGATGTTCAGAACGGCGTATATACAAGAAAAATTTTTCTGAGTAAAATTTTAAAAAAATATTTTTTTATCCGATAGAAAAGATGACGAAATATATTTCAGTAAACAAGTACATGTCAGGACTTAAAGAAGAACTAGACCCATTCGCTTATTTGAATGTTTACTTCTACAATTTTGAAAAGTCTTCATTCAGCAAAGTTTGGAACATCGAACCAGTTAAGTTTGCTATTGTGACTAAAAATGGTGCGAAATTTGAAGACTTAGACATAGAAGGTTTGTTAGCAGTCAAAGAAAATTTTGACAGAAGGTTCTCAAACCTTAAAGAAGGTAAAGCATACAAACTTGTTATACCTTATGAACCAAAGAAAGCAGACGACTATGAATATTATGAGTCTAAGATAGTTGAAGTTCAAGGTAAATTGGGTAAAAAGATTTTAGAGTCTAACCAGTGTTTGCCCCTAAAGAGGAAGAGAACATTGACATTGACCCAGAAATGTTCTAAAAATAAAATTTTATTTTTACATGTCAAATTTCTTTTTCTCTGGAACTGGTTCAGGTTCTTTCTTCTCTTCTACTTTCTTTTCTTTCTTTTCTTTCTTTTCTCTCTTCTCTTCTTTTCTGGTGGAGTTATGTCAAATTTCTCAGAACCATATTTATGTAAAAGTTCTTTGTCCTTTAATAGCTCTTCTATTCTGTTTTCTATTTCATCTTCAAGAACAGCGCATGTGCCTTCTTTGCATTCTAAGAACTTTTGTTGGACTTCATCTTTCCAATCGGCGTCATCTCTGTCAACAAGTCTGTCATTGACAAATTTTAAGACTGCTCTTTGTAATGTTTTATGGTTCTTGTCATATTCCCAGAAACAGAACTTTAGAACAAATTCACCTTTCTTGTTTACACTATGTAAGATTTTATGGTCGACAGATGTTTTGCTGTCGAAAAGTTTGTCTCGAATATAGATAGCGAAATCGCTAGACATTTTTCAAAAAGATAAAAATTTTAATTTTTCTAAAAATATGTTAGAAAAAAAGTTTGCTGACATTGACAAGAAATTTGAGAATGTTTTTAAACAAGAACAAGAGGAAGTTAGAAAATGCTCAAATAAAACCTATACATGAAAAGTTCTTATTTGCTCAGAATGGTTATAACAGGTCTAATTGCACCACCTGGGTCGGGTAAGACTTTCACTTATCTTAAAATGGCTGCACAACAACAAGAACTAGATGAGAAGAACCCATTCTATGAGTTAGTAGTCATTTGTAGTACTTCTGGTCAATTTGACCAAACCGTCAATTCGTTCAAAGATATTATAAAAAGTCTAAGTTAGTATGTATAAAAGACTCTGAGTTGTTAGATTGGATAAAGAAGTACCAAAGAAGAGTTTTGAAGTACAATGCTATAAATGAGTATATAAATTCTAAGTTTAAAGACCAAATGAGGAAATGCAGAGAATATTAGAGAAGAAACACTTCAGAAACAAACAGAAAGAGATAGAATACATTTCGAAGAAATTGCAATCTTACGATTGGAAGACTTACCCTCATAGATGTCTTCTTATCTTAGATGACTTTGCTTCTCATCCTTTGTTAAAGAATAGAGAACAAGATATGTGTCGAATTCTTAAGAAACTTAGGCACTTTAACATTTCAGTCGTAATATGTGTACAGACAGCAAAGAGTTTAAGTAAGGATGTTAAAAGAATACTTACTGACATTATACTTTTCCCTGGATTGTCCGAAGACGATTTCATGGAACTTATGAAAGAGTCCATGGCAGGTAAGTTTGACAGACATGAACTATGGGAGAAGTACAAAGTCATACAAGACCCTCATACTTCTTTCAGAATTCATATCTACGCAAACAAAGTTCAAATTGTAAAAAGTCAAGCGTAAAAATGTAAGTGTTTTAGTCTTAGTCTGTTGTGGTGCTGCAGCTTTCGGTTCTTCTTTTGGAATGGACTCGGTTGGTGGTACGTCGGACATTCGTTTGTGTCCTGTCGGAAGGAAGAACTTTTCCTGTTGGAAGGAAGGACTCGGAATGTCGGAAGGAAATTTTTTTCCAGTTGTCGGGAAATTTTTTTCCTGTCTGAAGGAAAAATTTTTTCTGTCGTTCGACCAAAAAGTTCTCAATTTTCGAAATTTGAATGGTTTACGGACGAACAACAGGAAATTTTTTTCCAGTTGTCGGGAAATTTTTTCCAGTTGTCGGGAAATTTTTTTCTTGTCGGATGGAAGGACTCGGAATGTCGGATGGAAGGACTCGGAATGCCAGAAGGATTTGACAAGACAGTTTACCTTATAGAGCTACCTGAGCCATCTGAAGTCAAGCTTGAAAAATAAATGGTTCATTTACTCTGCTTGTTTGAAGTTGTCAAAATACTCTGTTATTTTTTTCTTTCAGTAGCGGCAAATCTTCTTTGAATGTAAGTATTGTACAACCTTTAATATCATAGTGTGTTTGAGGTAAAGTATCTTGAACTATTTGTTTCACATCTTCATTTGGTGTCATTGAAATCGGTAAGTTTTCGCGATAGAACCAATTTCTGTCAGATTTGTAAATCTTAGCAAGGTCGTAAAGCTTTTGTTGTTTCTTCTGACTAAATGCAACATAACCATATCTTTATCTTCTTCATTTTCCATCTCTTCAGTATAAATCATATACTTTATAGTTCTTTTCCTTACCTTTTGGTACCGAACGTGGTATTCTTTTCTGAATGTTTTTTGTCTTTTGCTTCAATGACTTCATCTTTTGCTTGAAGTTTCTTTTCCATCTCTTCACGTTTTGTCTATGAATTTCGTCAAGAAGTCTGTAAATATACCAAGCATAACGAGGCGAAGCCCACATTGCAACAGCATTTACAAGAAGTCTATGTCATACCAACCTCTCAAACCATTTGGCAAATTTTTTAACGATTTTCATGATTTTAGGCGACCCGAAAAAGTCGGTCTCGCTGTGCTTCGCTCAAAAGTTCTTGTGTGCTTTGGTTTTTGAACCAATCGTCTGTATGTTTGGTATCTGGAGCAAACATGCTGTCAAAATACTTTGCATTTGGTACATGTCATCTTGACTGAACGAATGAGACGGAGTTGTTTTGTTAAACTGTATGTACTCATATTCTTCATTTATAGCTTCATGGACTATAACTGTTGTTGTGTTCTCTGTTGTTGACATATCTGTCTTTACATACAAAATAAAAAAATAAAAAAAAATAAAATTAGCGTTATTTTCTATCTTGTATAAAAGACCAAAAATAAACGCTTTACATGTATTTTTTCAGCAACTTCGTCAAATACTTTTATAGCTTTATCTATCTCATCTACTTCAAACGTTTCTTTACCTTTTATGGGAGCACCATACATTTTCTCAAACTTTTCAAGTAGTTCTGTTTCAGCAGCTCTCATATCGTTAACAAACACAACCTTAACTCTATTGACTATACTGTCATATCTTTGAGTTATATTAAATGTTCTTCCTATCTTATATCTCTTTGTATTGAAGTCCTTCGGTTTCTGAACGATGTAAAGTAAGCCTTCACTGCAACGTTCCGTATCGAATGAACCATAAGTTATGAAATTATATCCAACAACTGGGTCAATCCAGAACAAAACTACTGGTATAAGACTTTTGTCTATAAGATATGTTCTTGTTCCATAGAATCTTACCGATATCATAAGCTCAGGATTTCTTGTCAAAATTTTCTGAGTTGAAGCATTTCTAACCCAGTCGTGGGATGTTTTCTTTCCAGATAGTGTTAAAATGTCTGACAAAGAATATTTATTGTATTTCTTTGAGTATCTTACGTTTAAATCACCTATTCTAACCAATTTGGTGTCATTGTCTATCTTTTTAACTGTTTCAAACTCAATGTTTAACATTTCCTGTTCTTACATACAAAATAAAAAAAAATATTTTAAAAAAACTAACTTTAATTTTATTTTGTATAAAAGATACAGTTATATCATGAAATTTGGTCATTTTTTTACGATTTTCATGTGTTTTAGGCGTTCCTCGGTTTTCCGCGGGTCGCAATTTTTTACGATTTTCGAATGGAATCTCTATCCTCGGTTTTCCGAGGGTAGCAAACATATGAGGAAATTCATGAATTTTATACAGAATTCGGCAAAAATATATTTTATGTTAGAATGTTAGAAAACATGTTAGAAAACATGTTTTCTAACATGGTCTAAAACATACAAAACTCATGAAATTTCATACGGAATTCAATAAAAATAATGTTTATGTTAGAATGTTAGATCTAACATGTTTTCTAACATGTTTTCTAACATAACTATTTACAAGCGTTTTACATGGTATATGTTGCGATGGTTCATGACTCTAAACAATTTCGTAGCTTCTATTTCTTCTGTCAGTATGTCAAAAGTTTTAACGATACCGAAAGTTTCTTTATACTTCTTCTTGACGTCAGATAGAAGGAAATCTTCTGCTGTTGGATAGTTTTTGTTCAGAAATGCTAACATGTCCATTTTATCTTCTGCTGGTTTCTCTGCTTCTTTCTTTAAGTCAGCATAGTCGTTTCTCATACGTTCTATCTCTTTGACGGAGTAGTTATATTTCCTCATTGCTGCTTTACATTTAGAACATTGTGGGTTCATTTTTGCGTTATATTCTGAAACCTTACCTGCTAAAACAACCAAGGCGTCAATGGTTTTCTTTAACTCAAAAGTTGCTGGTTTTATTTGTTCGTTCCATACCTTACCCCTACTATCTTTATCTCTTATTTCCCAAACACATTTTGCAACTAACGAAACAAAGTTGTCGTAGGTCTTAAATTCTTCGGATTTGTAAAGGTCAGAGATGTTCTTATATACCATGTCGCAATCTTTGTCCATAACCTTATGGTTGCAATGAAAACCAAGGAATTCATAATTTACCTTTCGTATGAACTTCTTTATTTCTACTGAGTCAGTTGCTTTGACTTCTATTTCGTCAAATTCGGGAATGGTTAGTTTTTGTTGTTGGATTTCAGGCAATTTGGGTAAATGGTCAATAATGTCCTGCATTTCATAAAGATACTGTTCATTTGTTTCATCTTTCGCACTACAGTCTAAATTACTTGTTAAAAGTTCTTGCTTTATCTTCTGGATTTTTGTTTCGAAAGTATATGAAGAAGGAATGAAGCTTTTCATCTCTACTAACATTGAAGTTGGGTTCATAACTAGCGAGTTTGGTGCTGTAGTTGCTAACATGTTCTTACAATAAAAATAAAAAATATTTTTTTAAAAAAACCAACTTTATTTTTTATTTCGGGAAAATTCATGAAAATTCAAGAGTTTTAGACCATGTTAGAAAACGTGTTAGAAAACATGTTAGATCTAACATTCTAACATAAATTATATTTTTGGTGTAAATTTCATGATTTTCGAGAGTTTTAGACCATGTTAGAAAACGGTTTAATAGAAAAAGTGTTATTTTTTCATGTCCGAAGACTCGAAGGTGCAACACTTCCAAAATACCGACGAACTCAGAAGAGCAGCATGGCAGTATCTTCTTGACAACTTCTTTGAGTTCTCCAGGTACACCTTGGAAAATGCTGAAGAACTCCGACACAGAGAATTTGGAGAAATTGCACTCCAATACTACCTTGACAAACAAAGGGTAAACAAAGGGTAAAATAAGACTAAAAACTTAACGTTTAAAAAGTGACATTTTTATGAGCTCCGAGTCACCGAGAAAACTTGGTCAGATGTTAGCAGCTTACTTCCCTGAGGAGGATGGAAGCGTTACATACGTAAGGTTCAAAAACAACGAACCTGGAATTGCGTACCAAATTCGCAATTACATGACCATGGAAGAGTACGAAAGGTTCCTACAAGAGAAACCAGCTCTAAACAACTCAGAAAAGAAAGAATAAAAAGTTTAACTCGTAATTGTTTATTTTTTTACTTGTATGGGCAAGCTGCAAGAATGAAGTCGACTATCTCAGTCTTTGTCTTGACCAGTTGGACTGCTCTTGCGAGTACGTCTGTTTTGCGGTCTCCAGCTGGTGTCTGACCTTCGTAATTGCGCATGTTCTTGAGAGCTCCAACTGTAAATGGTTGTAGGATGAAGAGTCTCTCAGACTGCTTGAGGTAGTCGTCACGGTCACGAACCGAATCTGTGGTACGAGTCGAATTGGTCGACCTTAGGGAAGAGACTGAAAGCCTGTCGTCTTCCATAGGGGCTGTGGCATACTCTTTGCGTAAACGGTTCAGACCTTCTTCGAACTCTTGGTCTCTCTTGGATTGAGATTGGAATTGGAATTGGGGTGGAGGGTTTGACATGAACATCCAAGGGTTAGGGCAGTAAGGCATAGGCTGAGGAGGGTAGTTCGGGAAGCCTTGAGGAGGTATTTGGTAGTAATTTGGAAATTGGTAGTAATTCGGAGGTACTTGTTGGAACTGAGGTACTTGTTGGAACTGAGGTTGCTGAGGTGCAGGGGCTGGTGCTTTAGGTTCCTCTGGTTGGGATATGGGCTCGGTTGGTGGTACGTCGGACATTGTCTTGAAACAATAAAAGACTTGTCTTGAAACAATAAAAGACTTGTCTTGAAACAATAAAAGACTTGTCTTGAAAAAGTAAAAGACTTGTCTTGAAAAAGTAAAAGACTTGTCTTGAAAAAGTAAAAGAGTTGTCTTGAAAAAGTAAAAGACTTGTCTTGAAAAAGTACGGGTATCGTCTGAAATCAAGACCACTGTTCTCAAATTTGAGAACTTTACACCAAAAAATTTCTTGAAAAATAACGGGTCTTGTCTTGAAAAAGTAAAAGACTTGTCTTGAAAAAGTAAAAGACTTGTCTTGAAAAAGTAAAAGACTCGTCTTGAAAAAGTAAAAGACTCGTCTTGAAAAAGTAAAAGACTCGTCTTGAAACAATGACCGACATAGACCCAGCAGATGAGGCAATCTACCTTATAGAGATAAATGAGCTAGTTAGGAACTACCTGAGCCATCTGAAGTCAAACAAGACCATTGCAGGCTGGGTGTCTGGAAGAAGTGCGCTTAAAATTGAAATTGACACTGGAATTGTCCTGCAAATACCAGAAAACACTCCTTTCGACGACATAAAAGAGATGAAGAAAGAAGTCCTCTTGAAGTTCTTTGCCAAGCGTCCTTGGATACTACTTCCAAACAGAGAGAACCCAACTGTACGAATTGCCCAAATTCTCAGAGGACTCTTACACTTCTCGGGTCGGGCGTTCTTCATAAACACAGAAGGCGACATCGTACCTTTACAGTAAACATCTCATTTTAACTTCACTTTTTTATGTTTTTACTCACACTCGTACTCAACAGGTATGTGTACACATATGTCAACTGTGAACCTTGTATTGACCGGTCTTCCTGCAAATGCAAGTTCGGTCAATACACAATTTATGGTGGCAAGAAAGACAGTGGGGAATGTTATTCTGACATCTGTTGTTGCGCTCGAGAGAGAATTGAAATTCCAGACCCAACTCCAACACCAACACTCAAGTTGCCAAAGACTCATGTGAAGAAGAAGCCTTCTGGTAAGTTTCTTATAGCCATATACATGGCACGCTTTGAGTAAAAACATTTTTTTCATTTTTTGAATGAAGCAAGTTAAATTCGTCCCACACCAATCTCAATGGACCGATGAAGAGTTTCAAGCTATGGTTGAAGACGTTGAGAACGACATAGACGGCGAACTTGAAGGAGCTCAAACCACAATTGCAACCAAAATTGCACAAGTCAAAGAAGAGATAGCTCCACTTAAAGCTACCAAAGCTACTCTTGACCTCATGGATAGTTACCGTTTAGATGTCAAGAGTGGAATAAGACAATTAAAATTAAAACTTCTAAACTACGAAGCTATACTCCAAAAGTTAGCAGAAATGAGAAGACTTTACCAGAGCTACTTACATGTAAGGGACTTACCTTCAAGCAGTCCGACCAAAGATGAATTTTCTGACATTGTCCCAATTTTGTCCGAAAGTCAGCTCAGATGTTTCGAACTGCTCCCAACATATCCAGAATATGAACGTTTGCCTGAACTCTTCCGCAATCTCAAAAAACGTTTTTTGGTTCTCATGTTCGAAACTTTTATCGGAAGAGACAACAAACGTTCAGAAGAAGAACAAGATATTATTTTAAACTTGTTGTATGACTTAACCGTCATAACAAGCTTTTTGAAGTAAAACCGTCATTCTCAAACCACTTCATTTTTTCGATGTCCGAACAAGCACCGAAGCCGAACACAATGGCAGATGTCCTTTCAATGTTGCCAGACAAGCGCCCAGTTCAAATTCAAATTTTGAATTTGAAAGCTCATCTGACAAACACCGTTAAGACTCTCCAAAGTAGTCTTATGGAAGAGATGACCAAGCTCAAAGCCGATGTCCTCATGAACCAAGCTTCCAATGAGAAATGCCTGAATGATTTGACGGAAACCTTGCGCATTTACGCGAGAGAGAACCGAGACCTTGCCAGACTCATCTACCGTTTCTTCGAAGAGATAGACGCCATCTGGAAGGTACTCGGAAAGGACAGAACCTCCAACACCGTAATTCGTGAGTACCAAATTGAAGAAGGAATTGTCGAGGAAGAAGAGGAAGAAGAGGAAGAAGAGAAACACGAAGAAGAGAAACACGAAGAAAAGGAAGTTTGGGCAACTCTTGTTGCCGATGACACTTACGAAATTTCCCAACCCTACCCATACAAAATCCGCAACAAGGAGACAGGCAAGGTTCTTACCCCAGTCCTCAACAACTTGGGACACTTGAACCTTAACCTTCGGAATCGCGGTTCAATCTCCATGGGCAAGCTTGTCGCAATTCAATGGGTTCCAAATCCAACAAGAAGACGAAGGTCAGACACATTGACGGTGACAAGCTCAACAACCGTAAGGAGAACCTCGAGTGGTTCTAAGAGTAAAAAAATTTTATTTTAGGGGGAAACCCCGAGTAAATTTAGTTTTAGTTGCGTAAGGGTTAAATTAAGGTAATTTGGACAAGTAGTTCCTGACCTCTGAATTGGACTCTTTCGTCATCCCAGTTGCGTAGGAGGTCGTCCCAGAGGAGTTGGTAGAATTGCCAATCCAAGGACGATTTGTCCTCCCAGGCATTGAGGATGTACTGCTCGTAGAGTTTCATGACCTCTGCCTTGCACCAGACACCCTCTCCCTTGGAACGTAAGGCTTCTTCGAAGTGCTCGAATGCGATTGGCTGCGTGACCATCTGAAATGACACTTTTTGTCCGTTTGGTCAATGTTCGTGTCTCGTGCCATAGTCGACGAAAATACAACAAACAGGTTATATATGAGTTTGAGACCAAGAATGGTGTAACTCGACCTGTCCGATTCAAATTCGAATAAAAATTTTTTATTTCATGCAATGTTTTATTTCTGTGCCGTCTTCAAGTATGCCCCAGTACTTACGCTTGGAGAGGACATGAACTTCGGTGAAAATTTTGTCCAATTTGAATTGACCCATCTTTTCACCGACCATCCCATTTCAATGAGTTTGTTATACCCTTCTTCGTTCGTCATGAGTGCGTCAATGTTCTCATAGTAAACCACAACTTTGGATTTGACTTCGGAGAAGAATTTGTTGTAGTTGTCAAGGACTGCTTTGCGAACTGAGGTAAGACCAATGTTCGACAATAGGTTTTATGTGGTTACTAAGCCACCTTGACCTTGAGTAATTCGTATTCAAAACAAAAGGAGAAAACCTTTCAACAAAGTTGTCGACCTTCTCATAATGTTTACTCTTCATCTTTGAGGTTTCTTAATGGAATATCCCCATGTCGAATTCATAAGCAATTTGAGTGTCATTGCAAGTTTGGGGTTTGAAGCTTTCCTAATATCATACAGTTGTTGTATGACTTTTCCAACTGTATAGTTCCTTCCTGGGAACTCACCATCTTCGTTTGGAATTCCAGTCGGAATATATTGGACGAACCTCATGTACGCAGCGTTAAGGTCGACATAGTATATCTTTTCATCTGAGTCGAACTTGTCGCAACCAATGGTCCAGTTTGTGGAAATTCAAGTGAGTCTCTTATCTTCTGAGAAACTTCTCCTGTTATCTCATAAACATCGTCGAAGCAACCTGTTTCATATAAAACCTTCTGACCTAACTCAGATGCTCTCCAATACAATTTGACGTCAATTGGATGTCTCAATGGAAGTTTGTTTATAGCATCTTGAAGTTCTTGCAACCTCATTGGAAGTTCTTCTGGTTCAGGTTGGTATCCGAACAATCCAACTCCTTTGGAATTGTGTACTTCTTTTGTGCTATAACTTTGTCTGGAACAACTTTTGGTCTTGCTAACAGTGAAAAGTTTGTTTCGTCTTTTGGTACAAAAGTTTCTGTCAGCTTGTCATCTGGAATTGGTTCCAACAAACCTTTCTCGAAAAGAATGTTTACAGCTCTGACAATGTTGCACTTGCCTTTTCCGAACAATGGGTTTGTAAGACTTTCGTTCAACATGAAGTGGTTGTGGACAATTACAATCTTCAACCATGGTAAGTCTTTGTCAACAACATAGTCGTCATGTGAAGAACCTTTAGCTGTAGGTATGTTGACTCGGATATTGACATTTGCCAACGGTGCAATTTTTGCCAATTGACCTCTGAGATGTACCTTGTCTTCACACATGACTCAAGATACTTCATCTTCTCTCTGTAACAAGACCAGAGTTCCTGAGACATGTAAGAATACAAGGTTCATTGACAATTGTTTCAATTGAATTGTAAATTCCATACCTTGTCAAGTCAATGTCAGACTTATTTATGAACGGGAAGTATCCAGCATGTTGTCTGACTGCTTGAGGGTTAGGTTGGTACCATTCGAACTTGACACTTGCAATTCCTTCAATTGCATTCAAAATGTCTGAGTCGGAGTCAACCATTTGTTCTCTCTTTGTAGTCTTGAAAGCGTCAAGAAGTTTGCAGCTGTTGTGACATTGCCATGTGCATAGTATGACCGTCCAAATCTGTTACGGTTAGTCTGAGATTGTATCCTTTCTTATTTCCGTCTTGTATGGCAGCAAGTACACCCATGAAGCCTTCTTTGTTCTTTCCTTCGTCAAAGTTTACTGTAAAGGTTCGACCAGATGTAATTTGACTTCTAACTTCACGTACTTTTCATATGCATATCTTGTTCTTTCCATGGGAGCATGTTTGTCTTCACCTTTTCCTTTTTTCCTTCTCAAAGGATGCAATTGTTCGTCATGTTTCCAGTAGAATCTGGCAAAGCCGTCGTGTCCTTCAACTTGAGGTTCTAACATCGAAAGGCATGTCCATAAGACGTTCTTCTTCTAACCTCTCTAGTCTGTTTGGATAATTTGCGCGTGCTGTTTCCAATCCATTTCGTAGCGAAGACCAGACAATTTGTCATAGACTTTTATGGGTCTTCCCTTCCTATATTTAAAATTCTTCGAAACTTTCCAACCATATCTTTCTAACTCTGCTTTTATTCTAGCAGATTTTCTATCCATTCTATATGGGGGCATTTTTATAAAAATAAAAAATATTTTTTTCTTTACTTTACATAACCACCTGCTGCCATAAGTCTTTGACGCCAACCCATACCAGCTAATGAAGGTTGACTTGGTTTAGTTTGGAAACTAAACTTTGGTTTTGGTTTATCTTCAGTTTTTGGTTTTCTTCTTCTATCGGTTTTTCGTCACTTTTCGGTTCCTCTGACTTTACCTCACTTGCAGGTAGTTGTGTCGTCAACATCTTCATAAATATCATATGCCATTTGTTTTTGTTTTCCTTTCAACTTTTTGTGTTTGTTGTAAAGTTTAGAATATTTCGACTCTAAGTCAATGAGATGTTCTATAATGAACTGTTGGTCAGTGAAGTAAACTTTTCCATCTGTTGTCTCGAAAGCTCCTTCAGACTTCAATATTTTATTTGTGAGAGTCTGTTTCTTTTTTGAGATACTAGCCGTTCCATTTCTATGAAAAGTGACTTTATAGTTAGGGTTTGTATTTCCAGACCTGGCACTTTCTATTATTGAATTTTTCTCTTCATCTGTAAGTTCTTTGACAGGTTTTGACAATGGTTCTGAACTTTTTGTTTGTGGTGTCAAATCTACCGTTTCAACTTCTTCGGTCATTTCATCTCAGTAAAAAATTTTAGTTTGGTTTGTTTTCAACTGGTTGTTTAGGTTTTTTAAGTCGGTCTAAAACTTCCTGAGGTATAGGAAGAACTTGACAAACACGTGGTTGTGTAACTGCTGGAAGTCGACAAATCCATCTTGAACCCATTTGTCTCAATGCTGTATTGTTCATTTCATCTCAGTAAAAAATTTACATTCCCCACGTTTGAGGCGGTTGGTTGGTTATTGTTTACCCTGTTGTGCATGGTTATATCCTCTGTTAAAGAATCTTTCACCTTGGTCCATATAGTGCCCTGCTTGGTTATAGTAGTCATTTGCTTTGTTATAGTAGTTTCCTGCTTGTCTTCCTACATTGTCCATCCATCCTTGAACTTTTCCTCTTGTTTCAGGATTTGGAATAAGATTTGCTGCATCTCGTGCTACTCCCAACCTTTCTGTACAGTTTGTATAATAGGTTGTGCTTTCTCTTTAAGTATACCTAATGTACTCAAAATCTTCCTTCCAATTCCAAATGCACCTCTGGCTATTGTTCCCACTGCGGGCAAAAATCTGGATGCAACTCCTGCTAATGCGCCAAATAAACCCATTTCTTATGGGTTAAAAAATGACGAATCCAAACAAGGACCCCTATGTTTCTAAAGACAAAGAAAGCACTCATGTAAAAATCTTTAGTTCAACACCAAATGCTTGGTTTATGGATATCTTGGAAAACATTCCGAGTATAGAGAAGATGGACCACCATACTGGCTAATATTTGTCGGTCAAAACACAAGATACTGTGAAGCCATACCATTACAGTCCAAAAATATTTTAGATGTGAAAACTGCTTTGACAATATTCGTTGACAAATACCATCCAACAAAACTGACATCTGACTGTGAAAGTTCTTTCAAATCAGACGATATTAAAAACTATCTGCGTTCAAAAAATGTAAACCAATATTTCATTGTCGACCAAAACCATTCTGCTCTTGGTGTCATTGACAGTTGTATAAAAATCTTAAGAGACTTAAACCAACCACAAGGTGGTGAGGTAGATGAAATGTCATATGACGACAAATATAGACACTTCTCCATGGCAAAGATGAGACAAGTTTTAAATATTTACAATAGCCGTAAACAAAAAGGTTTGGGAAACCACTCCCCCGAAGAAATGAAAAACAACCCGACTTAGAGAAAGACTATATATTTAATAGTTTAGTCAAAAGAGACAAACAAGAAAGAATGCCAGGCTTCAAACTTAAGAAAGGTGACAAAGTAAAAATAGAAATACCTAAACGCGACCCATATGAAAATACTATTGACTATGACAACAATGGGAACTCGACAGGTACTCACATTCGTGTTCGTAAAAATAGAAGAAAGTATACAAGAGAATATTATGAAGTTTTAGGCAAACATGGCAAAATGTACACACTGCAAGCAGAAGATAAAACTACTATTGTCA